ACTGTGTGTGTGCACTTTGGATGGGATGAATGCAGAGCACTAATTCTGAGTATGGGTCACCATACTTGACCACTTCACTACAAGTAATTATGTGCTGATTTGTGTTGCTTAATACTTATATTTCACCTTTTTTAGGTAAGTTACAAATTACTTAAGTTTACAATTGCAATGTCTTTTATGGAAATAATCTGCATGTGTCTTTTTTTAGGCACGGTTGAGCTGATTATAGGGTGTATATTATGTCTTACATAGAATACATGTTTGAATGTAGTCAGGACAGCAGTTAGACTGGCAGAATTAATCACAAAAACATGATCCTTGATGACATTTGTCATTCCTGCCAGTACAGCAGAGCATTGTGGGTACTGAACACAGAGCTGAAAGAAAGCACATAGAAAGCTCACTTCACAAATATGTGTATCTAGGGTTTTCCTCTTGTAAAATTACAGATCTGACACAAGACAGCTACATTCCTCCGTCTAGACGTGTAACACATGGTGTCAGATGTTTTTTGTTGTTGTTGTCTGATGTTACTTTGTGTCAACAAAATGTGTCATATGACACCTAACACACGCCTGGATAGATTTGCACCTTGATTGTGTTTAAAAGGGCAATTATTTACTGGAGTTTAAACCATTTGGACACAGAACAATATTTGCATTGTTTGATTGACTAATATACTTTTTTATTAACAACTAACTTCTTATTTAACTTATTGCATTAAGATTTAGAAATTACTCTTTTGTATTGTAAATTAATGCATTTTTTATATTATTTAGCAACCCCTGAATACGTTTTTTACCGTAAATTTTACTGATTTTTTTTACAGTATATATAAACACGTAAATCTCTTTCTCCTTTATTTTATTTTTGTAATTTCTACACTTGACATATTTCATTGTTAAGTATAAATGTATGAAATTAATCAACATTTGTAGCATTTGTATTTTTATGAATCAACGTTTGTAGCATTTTATGTCATCCTAATACACACAAAAATGACACAAAATAATGTACAAAATAAGATCCTGGAAGATTTTTGTTTGCTGTAGTTTCTCACAGAACATTATGTGAAGCTCAGTGTCTGTCTTACATGAAACCTGATTCTTGTCAGTTTGGACTAGGAACAATAAGAGAAGCCAGGCATGAGTGCATAAAATCTTCATCTGAATCCAGCTGAGTGTGAATATGGTGGTTTGGGTGATTTTTTTTTTAACAGATCATTTGTGAAACATGCCCCCACTGGCAAAAGTATATTGAAATTCCTGTTACTACCTCATGTTTTGAAAGTGTATCTTTTTACATTTTATCTTGTCATCCTGGTTCATGTGTTTACAGTGAGGAATTTAACATTTAACAGTACTTCCTGTTTGTCTGAAGCATTTTTAATGTCCCAAATATGAGTAGAGAGCGGAAGACGGTTTTGTTCCACTGAATACTGCCATCAAAATCATTTGAATCATAATTATTAAAATCATATATGATGAAAAATAAGAGGGCATTCACAAAGTTTTTTTTTACAATTATTATTTTCTGCTTCATGATATATGCTGCTACTATTAAATACATTGGACAACAACAAACTACAACACTCAGCTTTGAATTCAAAAAGGCCTATGACAATAAAAGTAGCCTATTCGTAAAACTCTCCTTTTTGTTGTGGGAAATCAGTTGGATGTGGGTTAAATAATTTTACGCTACGGAAATAAAGATTCCTAATAAGACTATTTGAGAAACAGGCAGTTATTGTATTATTATGATATCTATCCTATCTTTTGAAACAACATTTATGATATAATCATCCTAAGATTCCTTGTTTCGTTTCATTCTAATATACATTGCTAATATAAATCTAATTTAAATAAGAATATACTAAATTGATTGACATTTATAGCAGCTCTGTATTAAAATTTAAATTAAGGTTAGACGGTGATTAGACAATCCTCTCTGATTTCCATTACAGGTTTGGTCCTCTAGCGCCATCTAGGGACACCATTTACACACCAGGAGTATTAAACAAACACGTGGAGTAAGGTCAGGTAATAATGATTAACTACTGAAAAACATATATTTGACTTGATGTTATCAGTGATATTTCTGGGTGATGTTTAGCACTCGTAGACTGCAGTCTTCACATTGCTGTCTCCTCATCAAGCCCTCGAGGTGGAGAATGAACTAAAGCCAGAAAGGAAACAGGGATAAATACTCATAGTGTTATCTAATATAAGTGTGCCAAATATTATCATCCCTAAAAATAAGCTCTCACTTACCAAAATGTACAATGTGCAAAGTAACAGCCAAAAGAATTGCTACAGTTAATTGTAACTTACTGGAATAAATATGATAAAACAATAAAATAAATAAAATAAACAAATGACAGAAATCAGCTCTTTTCAGACCAAAACCTTTTTAAATATAATTCAAATTGCTGACTTTGTGTTACTGAGGGGAGAGACTATGCTTGTCGTATTCTGCATTTTTAAAACCATTTTCTTGCATTTCAACATGCTCTACAGTTAGGAGCTACAGGAATAACTCTATTGAAGCTTACTGTAAATGTGTTAACAGATCAACCCACTTAGATCAGTCAAAAACACAGTGGAAAAAAGTCTTAAAGGTATAAACAGATGGGGAAAAAATGCATCAATACAATGAAGCAGAGATTGAAAGGACCACAGTAAGCAAGGCTGCATTAGTTACTGTAGATCATATGCCATTCAAATATATTTAAATCAAAATACACCTTTTACATAATCTAAAAGACTGAGTTGCAAATTATATTTTTAGTCATGTAATCTGTTGCAAATAGTAAATAGTATCTGTAGCAGCCTAGTATTCAGAAGACATTTACCCAGCACTGGTGACAAATTACCCAGATTTAAGCAAACAGTGATGCTCTAGTGAAAATTATTTTTAAAAAATCACTTACATCCCGCACAGCCTTCAGCTTTGCCTCCTCACTGGCTCCTGAGCGAACACGAATGTGGAAGACTGTGATTGCACTGATGTTTTCTGAAAATGATTGAAATTATGCTATTTATTTACTCCAAGGAATTCTAAAGATGACTTTATATGTTATCATCTGCATTATTTGGTTTATTCTATTCTATTCTATTATAATGAACTGAAATGACAAGAATGGAAATATATTCAATATCTACGCAAACAATTTTTGCAAAAACATTATTTGCACTTGAGCATTTTCAATAAATTAAGCGTTAGCGTTAGTTCTGGCAGGTCACGTGAGTCAAGCTTGCATCAGCTGATTCTCAGCTGATCACATCTACCTATAGGAATACGACACCTGTTGTGGCATTCCTATATAAGCTCTATTCAGTATTATTCAGCAGCTTTTCAGCTTGCTCAGGAGCAAATTACCCTCCTCCATCCCCAGCTCCTCCTTTCGCCACAGTCAGGACTTGGCGTTCTGATATTTCTTGCTAATCAGACTCCTTTATCTTGAATAAAGTGTTACACTTAAATATCAAGTACATTAATGATATCTGCCTTGTTCTGTTCTGTTAACCCTAGGGGGGTTATTATTTGCTGCTCTCCCTGCTCATTCATGACAGGCTGCATGGCTGGGCAGGGAGTTTTTTGCCCAGAACAGAACCATACCGCCAAACCAAACGTATGCTAAGTATCTATCATTTTGACGATAGTGGTCCAGACAGAACTGGTATAATCTACTTCTCTGCTGGGATGTTGATGAAGATGCAGAGGTTGGTGGTGGGGATGAAGAAGAAGGTGGTTCTGAGGTTGGTGATGATGATCGGTTGGTTGTTGGTGAGATTGATGAAGACGGTTGTGAGGTTGGTGAGGATGTTGGTGATTGGTTGGTTGTAGGTAGGGAAGATGAAGATGGTGGTGAGGTTGATATTAAGGCTGATAAGGATGCTGATGAGAACAGTGAAAATGAGAGTGTGGTTAATGAAGATGATATAAAGGATGGTGAAGAATGTGCCAAGGTTGTTGATGATAAGAAATTCAAATAATATTCATTTATATTTAGGAATGTTTTAATTCCGGTTTGTCACAAAAGAATAAACAGATGCAAGATTGTAGTTTGCATATCATTAATTCATTTAGTTAATTAGTAAGCTAGTATCTGTTTCAGATAAGGACTGAACTGAGACTCCAGTGTCTTTGTACATTTAATCACTTCCAAATATGTGATCTAGTTACTGATTAATGTTGAGATACCAGTATCCTCTCTAACTTGTGGAAACTTAAATTGACGTTAAATTTAATTACAGTGTGTTGTACATTATGACATGTTCTTGTTTAAAGAATAATGTCTCATAGAAATGTTAAAGATTAGTTTTTTAGGCACCGTAGAGCTGCTTATAATGACTGCTTATTATTTATGTTGAGAGTATTTAGTCTTACGCTGAATGCATGTCTGATTGTAGTCAGCACAGCAGTCCCTGTTTATGACGCAGAACTCATCACAAAAACACCCACCACGGTTGCATTGGCTATTCTTTCCAGGACAGCAGACTAGTGCTGTGGGTACTGAACACTGGCCTGAAAGATACAAGACATGAACACAGAAAGCTCATTTAGCAAAGATGTTTATCCTTTGCTTTTCTGGGGTTTTCCTTTTGTAAAATACAGATCTGATGCTCTGCAGCTGCATTCCTTCATCTAGTCATACAGTGCAGTGTGTCAACTGTTTGTGTTTTTCCTTTGTCTGACATTGCTTTGCATCTGGTAATGCGTTACACAAATTGGAACACACCTGGATGGATTTGCAGCTAACAGTTTGATTGTATTGAAAAGGAATTTATTTATGAGTTTACTGAAGACATCAGAAAATTCATATCCTTTTTCAGAGTCATATCGTCATTTCTCAGCTGCAGAAATATAGCTATTTTTTTTACATTGTATAAGGGATGTGACTAAAGAAGGAAAAAGTAAAGAAGAAAAAATAAAATATGTGGTGTACAAACTTTTCCCCTTGTTTTTGATAAATTAGAAACTATAATATGTAGAATGACAATATGTGTGACTATTTGCATAAAAAAAAAAACAGAAATAGTTTAATCTTTTCAGACCTTAATCATGTGATTGATGGCATGTGAATTGTCTAACATGCAAAAACGTAATATTAATACTTTTTGGTCCAAATGTAATGTGCATAAAAATAGAAAACATCAGTTCACTATTTTAATATCCACTGCTCTCGTTCACAAAAATCTATGTCCAGATTTAATAGTTTTGTACTATTAAAAAAATTTTTTTTTAATTTATTTCTCAATTTATTTTTTGCTTCTAAACATACTCCTCATACACACAACCAATGTCAAAAAAGAACACAAAATGTTGGATAGTTCACCCCAAAGTGAAAATTGTCATCATATTCTCACCTCCAAACCTGAATTTATTTCTTCTATTGAACACAAAAGAAGATATTTAGAAAAATGTGGGTAACCAAACAGTTTCTAGTCCTCATCGATTTTTGTTTCATACTGTTATGGCTACCAGCAACTGAGGGTGAGTAAATGATGACAGAATTTTCATTTTTTTTGTGTACTATTGCTATTGTCAAAAGACTCTTGTAAGTCTTTTGTTTGTTGTATTTTCTCACAAATGTTAAAGTCCATTGCTCTCTTTCACACAAATTTATGTCCATATTTAATTGTTTTGTACTACTAATAAAAAAAAAAAAACAATTCTACTTTCTACTACTTTTTTTAAACATACTTCTCATACATACAACCACAGTCACAAAAATGACACAAAATGATGGAGCACTTGGTTTAAGCTCCTCAGTTTTTTTTTCTTTGTTGTAGTTTCTTACAGAACTGAAGCATACTGTCGGTCTTACCTGAAACCTGGTTTCTGTCACTTTGGACCAGGAACAATAAGAGAAGCCAGGAGTGAGCACCTGAGACCTTCATCTTAGTCCAGCTGAGTGTGCACATTGTAGTTTGGGTGTTTTTAATGTAAAGCATTAGTGAAATCCACACCCAGACACCAGCATCATTTCCTTGTACGATCCATGTTTTAAACATTTAGCTTTTTACATGTATCTTGTCATTCAGGTTCGTCTGTGGATGATGGGGAATTTAACATTTAACATGTTACTTCCTGTTTGTCTGAAGTGAAATACTAATCTTCCAAATAGGAGAAGAGTGCAGGAAATGTTTTTCTATTGAACACTACTGTAAAAATCAATATATGCAATATATTTTATGCAAAATTTTTTCCTCCTAGTAACTGACCCAGAGTATTTTGTAATCTTTCCACACACACTACATTTTTTTTTTTTTTTAAATCGCTTTTTCTTACTGGCAACCTGACACGCATTTTCTGCTATGACACTTGGCATCAAGGGTAGAAAGTAATGTATCCCAAAAGAAAATAATTAGAGTGCAATGCTAGAAAATGGTTCTGCTACAAAGAATGCACCCACAAAAATGTTTTGTGTTATGTTTATAATTCCAAATATTTTCCTTGAACAAAGTACACAAGATAAAAATATAAAACTCAGAGGACACTCAGATTCAAATTTTATTAAACTAAATTAAAACAAATGTGTTATTACATTATTACAAAATCTGAGACCCACCAAAAACATAAATAAAAACACTTTGGAAATAAAGACTAAGAAACAATGATAATTGATATAGTTTACCAGCATAATTAACCCAATATTTGTGTGGGCTATACATTTTTTCTTTTCTTTTTTAGCTCAATATGTGTTGTAAAATCTGATTATATTTGTAAACTTTTTGGAGATTTTTAATCTTATTTTATCCATGAAATCTTTGCCAAAATACAGTATATGTTCAAAAAGCCTACATCTGTTCCAGTGATGTGCTATTTACTCATGTTTTATGCTGTAGTGCCACGTAGTGAAAAAACACATTTCCATTTAGTAACATGTTCAGGAAATGAGGTTTCTGTAAAACACATAATATTCACAAAGATGATATTTATATAGAGCAGCTATTATGTGATGTGGATGTCATGTCATGTCACAAGAATGATGATGATGACGGTGGTAAAGATGATGCTGAGAATGACGAAGAGCTTGGTGATGATGATGGTGGTGGTGAAGTTGGTGATGACAGTGAGGATGACTGAAATAATGGTATAGTTGGTAATAAAGGTGAGGATGATGAAGATGGTGATGTAACTGGTGAAGTCAATGAGATTGGTGGAGAAAAAGGGGATGATGGTGTTGCTGCTGGTGGTAATGATGGTTGTGAGTTTATTGATGAAGACATTGGTGGGGATAGTGAATTTGGTAATAAAGATGGGGATGACATTGACACTAATAAAGTATTGGTGTTGCTGAAAGCAAGGATGATGATGATGGTGAGGGTGCTGAAGTTGGTGAGGATGATGTAAATAATAGTGCAGTTGGTGATGATGACAAGGATGATGATGGTGAGGTTAGTATGGAAGATAGTATGGTTGGTGATGATATTAGTGTTGATGATGATGAAGATGGTATATAGGTTGGTGTTGGTAATGACTGTGATGAGGATGATGATGCTAAGGGTTGTAAAGGTTGGAGGGAAATTGGTGATGATGATGAGGATGTTGAAAAAGGTTGTGACGTTGCTGATGAGTTTGGTGATGTCTGCAAAGATGGTGCTGTAGTTGTTGATGATGTAGATGAAGAAAATAGTGTTAAGGTGGGTGATGATGACAGTGAGAAGGATGATAAGTAATGGAGTTGGTGGTGACTAGGGTTGGGTATCGTTTGAATTTTATCAATTCCGATTCCGATTCTGCTTATCGATTCCGATTCTTTTCGATTCCAATGTGATTAAATAATGATATCAAACATTTATCCTGTGTCTCTTTTTTCACGGTGTCCGCGGGGTCTTAAAAAGTATTAAAAGTTGATAAATCAATTTAGATAAAATTAAGGCCCTTAATAAGTATTAAAAAGTCTTAAATGTCATTTTCCAAGATATTAAACTTTGTATCATCTTTTCATTATGTATATTTGTGAATAGTGCGGTTCTGTGTAGTTTATTTATGGAACCCCTCAAGATTTGACGTCATCTGTTACGGCTCTCACTGACTGACTGCGCCACTGCTTGATAGTGCCGGGCTTGTTCCCGCTCTTGCTGAACTTCTGACCATTACCGCACGCTCACATCCGCTTCCGCGATTTTTGTGTCTGCTCCCGCAAACATTCTAATATTGTATATAATTTTCGCGCATCAGGGCGCCGCTATCAATATGTGAATGAGCGCTCGCAGTCGCCGTTTACTTTCACTTTCGATTTCGCGATCGCCCGCACACTGTGTAAAGGGAGCACACATTACGATAAAATATATACAGTGGGTACGGAAAGTATTCAGACCCCCTTAAATTTTTCACTCTTTGTTATATTGCAGCCATTTGCTAAAATCATTTAAGTTAATTTCAGTTATCTCTCCTTACTTTTGACCCGTGATCAGTCAAATCTGACTGATCTCGTGTTGGATGCAGGGTTGTTGTTGTTTTTTTTCCCACGAAATTGGGCTGCTTTTAAACTGTTGCCATGGGTTGATTTTCCCCAGTGGGTTAAAGGTTTGAAATATTGCATAAAATACATTTGGTTGAAATGCTTGTACTGAAACATTTTGCATTCTACCTGTAAAAAACTTGGGCCACACTAGTAGGAAGAATTTGAGCTGAGTTTATGATAAATGTGCATAACAGTGACTGTAAAATATGTATTTTAGGGATGGAAATGACATTTTTTATATTTGGGACATGGTAATTGCGCTACTTTGGACTGTTTTTTTTACTGGCATGGGCTTGGGATGCACAATTAAAATGATGTAATAGTTGTGATCATTATTTTACCTTCCATGATCATTCAGACACGATCAG